GACAGCCGCCTACGGGTACAGATATAATGCAGAAGAGTGGTGTTTCCTCCAATATCAATACAAGACATCAGTGTATCACAGCTATGAAAGAATATGAAAGTAAATGTTTGGAGGTAAGAAATACTAAGTCATATGAACACAAACAAACTCCGAACTGGGTGTGCCGGTGGTGCAGCGTGGATTTATGAAAATGCTCTCCCTTTGAAAATAATGTACTATGTAGTGTAGTTTAGTAATTTTCGCAGATGGAACCAAATGCTTAACCAGGAGGAGCCGTGTTGTTTATGGCACAACATACTTCTACAGTGTAAAATGTGATTGTCCGTATTTACTTTATTTGAAGCTTTTATTTCATTATACTACTTATATTGACCATAAACACACCTGTTCCATTTACATAAGCGATTACCATGCTAATAGAGTAAATATGGTATGTAGGTTTTAGTGACAGATACTCTGATTTCACTGCCAGTAGACTGTTCTTTTAAGTATTAATGTATTTGTCTTGTCAGGAATTAAGACTTGAGGACTACGGAGCAAACCGTAAAGGTCCAGGTACTGGGGCTGGATTACTTGGAGCAGGTGGCTCCATATCACAGCCAGATGCCAGTAAAGTAGGTGGATTGTTTGGAGCTACCGCTACTGGCACTACTGGTGGCCTGTTTGGTCAAAATAAAACGTTTCCTGCAGGTATGTCAGTTTATTCAAGTTTCACCAAAAAGAAATTGAGGAATTTAAATTTGGAAGTGTGTTCAGTTGAAGATGGTGTTTTTGGATTACCCATAATACTTTGCTAGTTAATAACATACAAGACTGATAAACTTTACTTTTGAAGAATTCCAGAATTGAATGAAATGAAATGAAATGAAACCCCTTATAACATATTACATATTTAAACCATTTAATTTAAACTGCTGGGAATTTTCTTGATGGATTATTTTATAGCATTTAGGAAGGCAAAAGTCACTGACACTCGGGATTCTTACTGACTCGCAGAATTCAAGAAAATTTCTCTATTGCGAAATTACAGTATATAATTCATATCGCTATATGTTCATAATATAATGGAACTCCATGGCAACTGATGTGATGTGATAATGACATAGGTAATGCAGTGCTCTCTAACCTTAAAAAAAAATGTTTATAGCAGGCACAACTGGATATGGACAGACTGCCTCTGGTAGCTTATTTGGACAGACTGCACAGCCACAACAAACAAGTCTATTTGCTAGCAAGGCTGGTGGCTTTGGCGCAAGTACTGGTTCATCATTGTTCACTGGCACAACAGGATTTGGACAAACTCAACAAAAGGTACGTTTTTTTTATTAGTTGTTCACAATGTGCATCTTCATTAGCGGTTGACATGCTGACAAGTCAAAATCAATGGAAAATGGACTAGTCAGTCACATGGAATCGTAGTAATTGTGTAAGTAACAAATCCTTGTTTGATGTATTTCAGAGTCTATTTGGCCAGCCACAGGCGAGTACTGGTTTATTTGGAGCAACGCCGACTACATCTGCCACGGGATTTGGAGCAACTGCTACAGCTCCCTTTGGACAGACATCTGCATTCGCACAACAAAGCCAGGCTGTAGGTATATCTTATGATACAGTATGTAATTCAACAACATATTGTTGTTAAAGATCCTATGTTTAAATTTTCACCATTACTGACTGAAATTGTATTTCTTCTAATATTCTAAATTGAAGTGCGGTGGTCGTGGATGTTTGAATTTTGTGTAAATAAACACTGAATTTTCATGTATTGTATTTGCAACTGTGGCAATCATATTGAACAGGGCTTGGTGCGGTGCCGTCATCCTTTAAATATTTTCATTGTGGTAATATCTGATGTTAAGTGAGTTCAGCATTCTATAAATGTCTGTATATAACTGTAAACTGTAAAGACAGGGAAAATCAGAGTCATGATGAAAATTACTCTTGGGTCCGACAATGACAGTGTCTGTCAGTGTCGAATATCATAAAATCAAGTAAATTCTTAGCTTTGAAAATTAAGCAGTTTGCAGTATAGTGAAAAAAGTAATATCGCCTGACAACAAATTGTTTTGTTTATGAAGGTCTTTGAATGGAATGGACTGAACAATGGTTCAGGACCATGTAGTTTTACTGAAATTTATTGTAAATATCATTGAAAAATTGCATGTTATTTGTCTAGATGCTTTCAATTGTTTACAATTGTTGATGCATGGAAATCCATCTGACATGTGCTTTATCGATCGATAAAACCAATGTCCCAATACATGTAGAAGCCCAATGTCATTTCTGCATTAACACATGGTTACCTGTCAGATTTTACAAGTGAGAAAGCTTTTTTTATACATAGCAGATTCAGCCAGCCGAGAGTGCATCAATGTATATATTGTAATTCTCTCATAATCATTTATTTTTTTTCTTTGCAGGGAAGTTTATTTAAACCTGGTACAGGATTTCCTACTGCTGCTCCTACTTCTGCTTTGTCGTTTGGTGCAACTGCTCCTGGAAGTGGACTGTTTGGTGCCAATAAACCTGCTTCTGGTCTGAGTTTAGGAGCTACAGCAACAAGTCTTGGTAAGTATTATACTGATTCTTTCAATGTGTTGCATCACTTATGATGCTGGCCGTATTCTCCACCAGGAGACAAGGAAATGATGATATGATTTTATTTACTATTGCACTATAGGACCATTCATGATGTCATGTCAATGTCTTGTTTTCATCTTGCTGTTATCATTGCTATCAAATCAAACTGTATTTTATTTTGTACTGAATTTCTAATATTATCATTTTATCTATTTGTGTTTAGCACCTGGCTTTGGTACAACCACACCTGCAGGAAGTCTCTTTGGTAAACCCAACACATTTGGCACAGCAACCGGTCTGAATACCAGTGGATTGATGAGTACTGGACTTGGTGCCGGATTTGGTACTGGTACCACAACCTCTTTGTTTGGAAACACTCCTAAACCAACCACTGGGCTTGGAACATTCGGTTCTACTTTAGGTGAGTAGCACAATGGCGTGTGTGATTTATTTAATACGGTAGCTCATTTTCAGTAACTTGTTGGATCTTGTATGATGATAATTTGTTGCAAACAACAAGTAGTAAGGTCTGAGCATATCTTCACTTTTAAAACTGGAGTATCTGCCTAAATATGTCTCATATTATTAACGTAGGTAAGTACTACGAAGAATAAGTTGAAATTGATAATGACAATGATACTCACTTTGAAAATTATAAGTTACAATGAAATAATGAAAAAGTTGTTGTTGCATCAGACTCATGATCGGTAGACCAGAGTTCAAATTCGAACACTAAAAAGGGTCAAACCCCTATCCTGGGTGAGTATGCCAGAGGCTCACTGGGAAGGCTAAATCCACTGACTGACATTCATTCACTATCGGATGCGACTATGGGGAAATCATTGTTAAGGTCCGCAGGTGCTTGTGTTCAACCGTGCCTTGTTGATGCCAGAATAGAGCATCAAATTTCCATTTGACAGAAAGATGGTCGCACACACAGCCCTGTCATGTAGTCCTAAACATGAATATGGTTTCTGTGGCAAAAATGCACATACAGTTTGAACATAGAAAAAAAGTCTAAAGAAACAGTGACATTCAATGTACACAACTGCCACCTAACACGAAAATATATACCCGGTAATAATGATAAAAAAATAACTACGTATGAATCTCATTTTACTGGCATTGCATACCATTTTCTTATATCCTAAATACTTTGTGCGTGTCTTAATTATGCACTCAGTATTAAAATCACAAATTGCTAATTTAAAGTATGTTTTGTTTCCCAAATTTCTCAATGTTTATAATACAATTTCAAATTTGATATTGTTGATGACAGGTAGTGGGCTTGGAACTGGTTTTGGTACTGGTCTTGGGGTGGGAACGACAACAACCAGCCTTGGCACGTAAGTAAATTCTTGTTTCTTCATATCACAAAGATTACAGTCAAACCCATGTAAAGCGACCACACAAGGGACTATCTTTGAATAGTCCATTTTCTGTTCACTGCGAGATCACATGTTATGCGTGAAATCGAACTTAACAACAGGACAAACAAAGGTCATAGCATTGTAGTGGCGACAAACAAACGTGAAAGTATTTTGGCGATATTTCCATGCTTAATAATGTGCTGTACACATTTGATGATAGTCAATTTCAATGAAGTATTAGGGTATTCAAATGCAATATTCCCCTGTTAAAGATCGGCTTTTTGATGTGAGCTACGAAATAAAGAAATTCAAGTTCAAAATCGAATAGTTGGTCACATAAAACAGGTTGTCTTTATACACAGGTTGGTCATAAGTTATGCCCTTGGGACGGTGGTCTTTATATAGAGGTGGTCACTAACACAGGTTATATATGTTGTATATGTTATGCATGTATTCATGCAAACTTTGTTTTGTAAATTCTTTCTTGTGTGACTGTAGATAAACAGTTTAATTTGTCGTAACTATTTACTTATATTATACACAAGTTGTAAGTACTGTTATAGCCGAAGTATTCAAGTCTGTTTTTTTTTTTCGTTTTTTTTTCAGTGATCCAAATGTAGCTGTAGCTCAGCAAGCTCAACTCCAACAACAGATTGCTGCCTTAACCAGTTCTCCTTTTGGTGACTCACCACTCTTCAGAAACACTCTACAGGTAAGTTTCTTTCAAAGACAATAACGATCCCTAATTACTGCAATGGTTGTTGCACTGCACTTATGATTGTTGCACTGCACTCATGA